TTCTGGGAGTGTCAGGAAACATCTGGAAGAGGCTGTCTGAGGAAACACTGATGTGCCTCCTCACGGGGGGGGGGGCTCCAAAGGTTGTGTTGGGGTGCCAGATGGCTCTTGCAAGGTGACCCTTCAAGTCTCCTCGACATCCTCTGGCAAAGGTTGTCTTAGTGTGAATATGAGCTGAAAAGCCAGATGTCCTCTGACTCAGCACCCTGATACCCTCCAGTTCCTGAGATGGGCAGAGTTGATGCTTAGACTCTACCTCAGCTCCAGACTCAGCATTCAGCGCCTGCCAACTTTGTGCTGTTGTCTGCCTGTGACTTCACCCAAGTCCAAGTTCTGCTGGGGACAACTGACACTGAAAGAATGGGGTCACTTAAATGTTCCTCAGTAATGCTTGATAAAAAGTCTCTGGAAATGGAGAGTTGGGAGAAATTGTAGAACTTGTGGTGCAACAAGAGCATCTTTTTTTCTGTGAGTCAAGCAGATTCAGAAGAGGGACTTTGAGCTTGCAGTCTTTCTAAGCCCCTGTCAGGAGAGTAGTTAATCATTTTATAGGTTCTCTTCTGATGGACTTCAATAGTTGTCTCCATCCATCCCATGGTACCTTTAATTTTGGTCTGTCTCTGTTTTGAGTGTTCGTTGTAGGGTGTGTGGAGACCTTTGGGGCAGATGCTTGTGGATTTGGGAGGGTTGGGTTGTTTTTGGAGATGTGTGTGTTTGTGGGCTCTCTTGTGGAGTGTGCTTCTGGGGCAAAATGAGTAGGGGAGGGGATGTTCTTTTAACTGCTCTTGCCTTTAAGCTCCCTGGGTTTGCAAGAGGTTTGGGTATAAATAACCAATGGATAATTCAGGATCCTAATTTGAGGAATAACAAAAGTAGCTTATAGTGAACTATGGTTTATAAGCCAGCTTCAAGTTGTGACTTCTAATCTGATTTTGTTTAAATGATTTAGCTTGAGTACTGATGTTCAAGTGACACTTAAATTGAACAAATTCTAATCTTATGTGTGTATCATGCCATATTAACTACATTACCAATGGTTCCTTGCCATAAGTCTTCTGTATCAGTAGGGGCCACAAAATAGTTTACTCAGAGAATTTTTGGAATCCTCAAGAAATTCTAGGTAAGTTTGACATAATCTAGCTTCTCATGGGAAAAATGTTTTAGTGTTCTAGGGAACAGAATGGTTGTCTTCATTGTTCGGCTGTGCATAGTCTAGTATTAGAGATAACTTTCCTGGTTGTAGCCCTGTACTATTTATACTGACTTCTAAGTAAGCTTTGATTTTCATGTCACTAACAAAATACGGTAGCTGGTTGGTGTTCAGAACGCATGTGACAAAATAGTTATTTCTAACCTTAGAGTAGAGAGATATGCAGAGGAAGAAATGTTAGATTTAGGTGTTATGTTAACTTTTAATGGATCAATTTATTCTTTGGCTGTCCCTTTAACCATGAAATGTTATTTTTGATACCCTAGGAAAAGACTCTTTCTCTCACAGCTATATAAATATTCTAGTTCTGTACTAATTCATAAATCTCTGGAATAGAACTGTTTGGTCAGATGGTTCATGCTCCTTAAAAAATCCACGCATGCTCAGAAATTCTTTTCAGCTCATAGAGGAAAATAGAAGACTCAAGAGCATGTTTCTGGCTTGGCCTTAAATATCCTAAAGTGCTTCCAGTTACTCCTAATGCTCAAGTACTAATTGGGAAATGTTAGCTCAGCTAAAGCCTGAGTTGCCTTGATGATAACAGGTTTGGTGACCCAATAAATAAAGGTAACAATATTTTTGTTGGACTTAGCCTTTCCTTTAACATGTGAATACCTTACTTTAGAGCAATTGATGTAATTAGATGCTGCTGCCTTCAGTCTGAAGTGGCCAAATGGAATGTAGTGCTGAAAACAGCCACCATTTAGTCATCTAGGGAGGTATTTGCCAGCTCAGCCAATAGTATTAGTCAGCGCTCTTTCTCTAATTGGCATCAGCTGCCATTTTGTTGGCTTATCACTTGGCAGTTGCTGGGTAAAAGCCAGATTGGTTGTATGCAGTCTATGCATGTACCTCCTGCTAGAAATCAACAGCAGTGCATGGGCTTAGCAGGGAAAGAATGTACTGGTGATCTGTCTAGCCTTACAGAAGCACAAGAAACCCTGTCCCCAACTCTGCATTTTATGATCTTGTGCAAAGCAAAGAGGAGAATAGGAGTCTTCTGTGTATCCCAACGTCGCTTATATATAATACAGCTTAGAACTGTAGAAATGACATGTCCAAAATTGGAAAGTTCCACTGTGCAAGACATTGGGGCAGAAATTGCTCCATAGCTAATAAATTCCTGACATCAAAGTGCAGATTAGTTGTTCTTCCCTTCTCTTGGTCTTAGAATCTAGTCTACTGATGTGGGGGTGGTGTTTGTGTGTGGTGATCCAGGACAGTAAAAAGGACTTAACTAGATGGTGGATTGATACATCAAGCTAAGTGGTAATTGGTTTGTTTGTAGATTAGCATATTGTATGAAACGAGTCATTTTAGTCCAGTTTAAGAACAGTAGTTACACACACTGTTTCTTAATATGACATGTGAACCTGGCTGCTGCAACAATGGGTATGTGAGATTACACATGTCCCCTGTTGGCTTCCTGTTGGCATCTAGCTGGCTCTTGTGGGAACAGAATGTTGCCCTAGTAATAGGCTTTTGGTCTTATCTGACCACGTTGTTCCTGTGTTTTTGTACTATTTCAGATGTGAATATGGCAGCACTGTTTCTTAGCAAAGAAGGAATAGGTTGCTACTGCTTGAAGTTATGTTACCTTGACTTTTTTTTAGTAGTAAAAAAAGCTTGTATGCAAGTACAGGGGATGAACACAGAAATCTATAATAGCAATTATTTCAGTAGAAGGCTTTAAAAAATCCACTCCTAGCTCTCCTGTCTTTAAAAACAGTGACATTTACATGTATTTTGGGAAGAATTTATGGGACAATGTAAGTATTCCAAAGTCCTTACATAGATGGGGTTGGCTCCCCCTCCAAGGACAAGCACCAAAGCAGATGCTGTTTTCTATGTGTGTATACTGTTTTCTGTTTATGTATACTTGCATATGTATGTATATATAATTTTAACTTTAGTTTTGAGAATTCACATACCACCTTGTGAATGTCCTGGTACTGGTAGATCCCATGTTTCTGTGGACTGATGTGCATTATCAAGTACTGATTGTGTTTGCTGTGATGGATTTAACAATGGCCTATGTGGCACTCTATTTATTCAATAAGTTTTAATCCCACCTTTCCTCTGGAAAAGATAGAGGTAACCATATAGTGCTCTTACCTCCAGTTTTATCCCCTAACAGTCCTTTGAGGCTGGTTTAGCTGAGAGAGGATAGCTGGCCAAGGTCACCCTGAAAGCTTGGACAGCAGAACTTAGTTCTCCCCAGTCCTTGTCCAACATTTAAACTCTACATTTTTGGCTCCTTCCTATAATCTGCCTAAAACTGGGCTGTCAAAGTCACCTGTGTGGAAATTTGAGGTGCTGTTCCTTAGTTTTTGTCAGGTGAGCTGTGAGGTGGCTCTGTTTGCAAGAGATCTATCCTTAGTGATTTTGTCATGGTAGTGCTGGATCTCTGAGATTATTGTTGACTCATCCAGATGGCAGTACTACTCCCTTTGTGTTTCAGTAGAACTTCAAACAGCGCTTGTAGTGAAAAGTCTGTTTTAATCTTGCCAGCATTGATGTTTTTGAGTAAAGAAAGATCACCATTGTAAAGATGAATTAAGAGTAGAAGAAAATGTCAACTTAAGTGCCAGTAAGTTTTTTCATGCCAGGGTGGTTTTTTATGCCAGATGTTTCTGCTCACTATGGGTATACACATTATATAGTAACATAATGATAGTCATAAGAAGTGTCAACCTTTATGAATTCTTAATAATGCTGTCCTTGGATAAAAGTATTCAGGAACTGAAGTTCTGGCCTGGAGCTTTTTAAGTTAAACAGATTGCTTTCTTAGTCTGGTTTAGCTCCCACAAAAATCAAGATGATTCACTGAGGCCTAGGGGAAGCTAGTTTAGTAACACCTATTGAGAAAACTTCCACCATGAACCATACTAATGATATGACTATAACGCCCATCACAATAGGAACATGTATGACCAACTATATTAATGTAATAAAGTTGTAACTCACTTTGATGAAATAATGATCATAATAATTTTTGAACTTGGATACATGTTGTGCTTAGCACATTAAGGATCCAAAACTGAAACAGCATAATGTGATTGGCAACATATTGTAATTGTGCCCACCAATTTCCACCTGTTAAAAAAATTACGCACAATGACTATTTATTAGAAATGTTCTATTTATAAGCACAGTGTTGGGTGAAGGAGTTGTCACATAGTTTGTGCATAGGTGGATAAGCCCAGTCAAAGGGAGAGATTGTTTCCCTGTTTCTCGGTAAAGGTTGCACATGGTAAGCTAATGTCCCAGTAGGGTCTGATGAAAACAAAGCTTGTTTTCAGTTCAAAGCAATATGTGATGATTTGACTGTCGTAACAGTGTAAGTTTTACTTGCCCTTAATGTTGTGGAATGTGGT